TTAGTACATCCCATCATCCACAAACGGATGGGCAAACGGAGGTTACTAATAGAACTTTGGGTGCTTTGTTGAGAGGGTTGGTTAGCAAAACTCAAAAAGATTGGGACATCAAACTTGCACATGCTGAATTTGCCTATAATCGTTCTCCTACTTATGCTACAGGTCACTCTCCTTTTGAGGTGGTGTATGGTGTGAATCCTTACATGCCTTTGGATTTGATTCCATTACCAAAGGATGAATTGGTTCACAAGGATGCTAATGACAAGTTGAAGGCCATGATGAAACTACACCAACAAGTTCGTGAGAAGATTGAAGCTGTGAATGAGATGTACAAACAGAAGTCAAACAAGCATAGGAAACCACGTGTCTTTCAAGATGGTGACTTGGTGTGGGTGTATATGAGGAAAGAACGTTTTCCTAACAAAAGAAAAAACAAGTTGATGCAAGAGCTGAAGGTCCTTACAGAGTGGTGTCACGTGTCAATAATAATGCTTATAAGGTAGATTTGGGAGGAGACCATGGAGTGCATGCTACCTTTAATGTGGGAGATCTTTCACCTTATCTTGATGATGATGGACTTGATGAATTGAGGTCAATTCCTTTCAAAGGGGGAAGGGATGATCCATGCATGGATCATGAAAGCCCAAAATGTGATGGATTAGTGATTACTAGTGGGCTAGAAGGTGGTTTGGGCTCAATGGTTGGGTTGTGCATGGTAACCCACGAATTCAATTAAGGTTGCATGAAGACTAGGGCAACATTTTTAAGGCTTCATAAGTGCTAAAAACGTTACTATTTGCTTCATAAAGCCTCCTAGCCGTTTTTTGACACTCTTTGGTGGATTAGGGTTACACTTTAATGCTTATAATGACTCCTTAATGCTTCTTATGGCTCCTTAAGCAAGCATAGCCGTTTTTTTTTCATTCACAAGTCTCATGGACGTTTTTTTTTGTGTTCTTTCAAGAGTTACCTTAATTTCTATTTACTAGTTTTAATGAATAATTGGTTGGTTGGCTTGTAACCACCAAATTTGTAATAAAGGCTTCATATAAAGCCAAATTATGCATGGAAAAAGTAATACACGAATTTTAATCAAAGAACCATTATTTTCACCTTGAATTATTGTTATAATTCTCAAATTATCTTGTTGGGACGTGTTCTTGACTTGATACGAACTCAATCCAATAGGTCTTGGATTGTTTTCATCGGTATACAACTTAATAGGTCTTGAGTTGTTACTATACTAATCTATCTATTTCTTTCCATTCACATATCATTTGTGGTTGCTATTCTCTCTTAATTTACCTAAACACTACCCTACTCACTAAATCAAGCCCATACACGCATCACAGTTGAATGGGTGAATCTGCCCTAAGACCACAACCAAACAAGGAACATGAATTAAGACAGAAAGCACACGTTCCACTATCTATTGGACTTCAGTTTTATCTAACCCAAAAGTATACATTGGGTAATCACATAGTTAGTATCCTTTGAGATTTGTTCATGAAAAGTATATTACTACGAAAATATATCGTTGTTATCTATTGTGAGTTTCACGACCATACTAATTGGACAGGTTAAACACGATGTATTGTAGATGTCGAAAAGAATATGACGTTTGTCACCCGCAGACCTGCCGGTCCGGCTGTAGCTAACAACGAGGTGCGGGATTGTCAATCCCGTATATATCTATACACAAACTCACGCTCTCCCTCCAGTAGACTCTGGTCGTAAGGGTAGACTTTTGTTGTACTTATGTAAGTACCGAAGATGTGTATCACAAGCTAGATTAGCGACTTTACAAGTAATAATGCGGAAAACTCTTTTTATAATCAACAAATAAGTTTATAAAAAGATCCTTTTGTTCCTTAAGCTAAACTTATTAAAGTTTATAAGCTCATTTCTATGTTTTGTTAAGAGTTTCATGTTCTAAATACAGTTCATTGGTACAAAGACATAATAAGCAATTTATATTTTAAAAAGTTGGAAAAGATATGGGGGTATGAACTCACCTTATGTGGTGATTCAATAGAAAGTTCGATATAGGATGATAAGTTCCACAAATGAAGTCCCGATGCACAAATGAGTCCTAAATGACATATAATGATACATATAGGCATGAAATTAGTGAATCTAACTACAAAGGCAATTGGGAAACAACCTAGGATGCAAGAATAACTCACCAAAGGAATGCTAGAAGGAAGTTAGAAGGCTGCAATGGAGTTCACGGCTGGGTTTGAGGTGTTCACAACCCTATGGGGTGTTCACGGACCAAGAACACATGAGTGTTCACGACCCAAGTTGAATGGTTCACGACCCACTTGAAGGTTCACGACCCACTTGAAAGAAGAACACTCGAAGATCTTGGTGTTTTGGCAAGTGTTTGAAGATCCTAGTAAGCTTCTAAGGAGTAGCAAAGGAAAAAGGGATGTTTAAGAGTGAGAGAGGGTGTTTTTGAAATATGATACTTGAGAGAGAATGGGAAGGATTCACGACCGAAAGATGAGATATGAAGAGAAAAATGGCTAACACTCGCATATATAGCATGAGTTCACGGTCCGAGGGTTCACTGCCGAGGGTTTGTTTGCGGCCGTGAACCGAGGGTTCATGGTCCGAAGATGTTCACGGCTCGGTGGTTCATGGTTCTGAAGTTATTTGCGGCTCCGAAGGGTTTGTGGCTATGCGAAAGTTCTTGGTTCCTAAGGGATTTTTCCAATGTAGATACACCACACTTTTGACTACAAGGCTCAAACACTTATAGATCATTTACTCTAACTATATTTAGATAATTAAAGAAGTGCATTTGATCTTTGATTGAATAAGTTTCATTTTTGTTGACCAAAGTTGACTTTGTAAGACTAAAATTTTCGGGTTGTGACATGTTGTAATTTTCCGCGTCCCCCATGCCTCAAAACACATTCTAGTTAGTCCATTAGTCATTTTAGGCTGAAGGTAGGGGCGAATATTTGGACCGGACCGACCCTTTGACTAGACCGGTTAGATCGGTTTTACAGAAATCGGTTCACCTTAAACCAGACTTGTTAAGGCTTACCAAGTCTAGGTCTGACACTGATTCTTGGACGTAAAAGTGAACATTTGAATCGGAACTGCTTTGTAGAAATTGGTGGACCTTGGACAAAACTTGTTGAAACTTACTAGATCCAGGTATAGGTCCGGTTCGGAGGTTCAAAAGGTGTGTGTATGTGTGTGTTAGGGGGGGGGGGGGGGGTGGGGTGGTATTACACAATCAAAATTGCAAGGCTTGATAACTAGATTTGAAACCATTTTTACTTGGTTATTACCTTATAATAAATCCATGCTATAACTTCATAATCATCTATCATGTGGATGGTACATGGTTTTTTACTAACGTTGTTTAACATCAGCAAAATCATCTTCTACAAAGTTTATGTTCTTTTGGTTATAAATCATGGATGATTTTCAGAGTCAACCTTTTTTTTTTTTAATGTATTTTATGTAAACATAAATCTTTTCCTTAAATAATAAATTCAAAATGCTGGTTGTTTTTGTAATGGTAGATTTCAGAAAAATGTATTTACTTCTTATGATATATTCTCTAATATACATAGAGAGATATTTTAGAACATCGTTGATATAATGAGGTCAAACTTTTTATAACATGTGATATTTTTTCAAACCACAAATTCTAAATCATCATTTGCATGTTTCTTTATGTAATGACAAATATGTAAAATATAACCAATATTTTATAACTGACATTATTCAAACGATGATTGGTTTTGATGATGGCAAAAATATTATTTTTTAGTGAAATTAATTTAGTTCTTATTTACGATACGTTTGTTACACGAGAAGAAATATGACATATTTGGACCGGAAATTTTCTCGATAATAAGGAGTGGAAAGTACGCCTTAGGTTAGAGTTCTAATAAGATTTAGATAGCTTAAAAATGGAAAAAACACTTTATCAGTTTATCTATATGAGTGCAAAGGGCAAGTGAGAAATTATAAGAATCGATGTGGGACTAGTAAACAAGAAAAAACCAATGTAAATCTGATCCCATATCGACAGGTTACAAAAAATCGGTTTACTCCTTTTCTTATATAATGTTTTCCTCTTTTCTACGCATGCTCTTATATTAACTAGTTTTCACAATATAATTGCGCTTTAATTATCACTAAGCATATGTTTAAATTGTTTTTATATCTTGGTATAAAATAAATGGGCATATCACCACAACAAGTAAATAACCAAATTGCCCTTTGGTTACGTTTAAGGGGTGGGGTATGATAGTAAAATCATATAGGTTTACGATTACAAGGAAATCTAGGTTTGTTCTCTTATATCTATACTCTAATTTATTCTTTTAAAGATTATAGAAACTAATACTGTTTACCTTTATTTTTCCAACTTGAACCCAATCAATTCCAAAGAACACATGTTTTTCTCTCAATAACGTGTGGAATTCGCTTTTATTGCCTTACACACCATTAACCTCCTTTGAATTTCAATAAATATTTAGGTAATTTCATATGCTATCGACATGTTCTTGATTATAAAAAATTGTGTCACTTAATATTTGAATAATTTCAGATGTTGTCAACATGCTCTTTATTAAGGAAAATTGTGTCACTTCTATTTTTGGATAATATTTGAAGGGAGTTTTTCACCATGACATCATTACACCCGCATTAGAAAATAGAAACTACATACCATGATATGGTTTCTTACTTTCTTTTGATTAACTTTTTGTGGTTGTGATTCTAGTAAAAATATATTCCTCTTCTCAATCATTTCCATTTCCACTTTCTCCTTAGATTTATTTAAGATGATAAAACTTTGGTTATTGATATTTGATTTTACATTTTTTACTTAACACACCATTTATCTTATGCAAACATGTTGGGAAGATAATCATCAAGAATTAAACATTCATAAAAACATATATCAAGACATTATTATTTAAAGTTTTGTTATAACGAAACATTCAAGTAAAATGAAAAAAAAAAAAAAACGATACCAAAAACTTACCACAAAGAAGAAGTCACTTCTCTGCAGTTTAGTCTCACTTCCCCTTTATCTCCAGTCAACACTTGAGTACTCGAAAGCTTCATCATCACCTGTGCAAAATCTTTTCTAAACAAAGAAACATCAGATGCATATTGTCTAACCCAAGTTGCAGTTTCTTCTCCAGCTGTCAACTGTTGATCTACAAACAGTATACCTCTACCCTGAAGAAGGCTCCTGTAATACAGAGTCCCAAAACCCGACCCTTTTCCTTCATAATCCATCTTCATTCCCTGATCTTGTCTGGTTTTTGATGAAGAAGGTGATGGAGATAGTGATGCTGATGGTGATTGGGAGTGGGAATGGGAATGTGATCGGTTGTTGCATACTGATCTTAATAACTCCACAAATTCAGAGTCCATTGATGGGTCTGGTTTATCTGTTCCACCAAAGTTGTATAGTCTTTTTTCAAAGAATTTGCAGTGAATCATTCCAGTACTATGAGCACCTGTAATGAAACCATATAGATTAGGAAGAATTAGATTAGAGAATAGAAGAATAGAAGAATAGAAGAATAGATGATTGATTTGTGTATACCTAAAAGAGTGACTGTTTCTTTGTCAGTGAAACCTCTTGTTGCGAATCTTGCAATGTTTGTGGAAAGATCATCTAAGGGACTAGGAAGCTCGTATGAGAGTTGAGGGAAAGATCGACTGCTGTCTTTTCTACCTGTGTGAACTGGATAAAATGGTCCACCAGCCTGTAAGAGAAAATGAGATGTTAATAACGTAAAGTTTGTTTCATGTTCTTGAATATGAATTGAAGAGGGAAAAGGTGGAAAGGGAAATGATTGGGAGATGAATGTGGTTAGTTAGTTACTAGAATCACACTCTCACGAGCAGCCAACACAAGAAGATCAGCACAAGAAACTACGCCAGGGCATGCATTTTCTAATTCGGCTTTGATGATGTCAAGATGTTCAAATCCTTTCAGAGATTGATTCGGTGGAGTGTCTTTCTCGCTTCCCATTATTTCTGTGGGATCCAAAAGTACCGAGGCATCGCATCCCTGTATCATGTTCAATTGTTCATTCAAATTCATATTATCTTCACAAAATACTCTAACAATGATATGTAACACTATTTACGTGATTATGACCAACACTTTGCGACTGGTATGTTGTATAATAAGAATACATGATGATATGATTTTTTGGTAAAATCGGCATCAAAACCTAGATCGATGTGGTTAACGTGCGATTACAGTACAAAAAAATCATCAAAAACTTACGCCACTATCAATTTGCGATTACAGGATTACGATCATGTTCATAACAACGATACGAGATTGTATAGCATCAAATCTAGACGACAAATGATATGAAACAAACAGATTCGATCGTATACCACAACGAAGAGAAATAGAGAAACAAGCAAACCAGAAATCACAAGTTGAAACACAGAAGACGTCGTATGAGACTTAGAACGTGAAAAGGGGGATAAAATCTGACCTGTACAAAACAATCGTGAAAAACCAGGCGAAGAATAGCTGGAGCAGCACTCGAATTTCGATCGTAGATCCGGCGTAGAGTTGATTTAATAATCTGGTTCGCTTCAGGGCAGGATTGTCGATAATAGTCGTACTGAAGCGATGAATCAGATGAAGCAATCAAAGAGAGAAGAAGATAAAATCCAAATAGAAGAAGAAGGTTCGTTTTGCCATCGATTTCCATGGCGGATCTCTGGTTATAATCAAGCCCTAGCTAGTACAATATGAAGACACTGTTGATTCTGTGTAGACAAGAGAAAGGAGCGGGAAAGTAACTGTGTGTTTATGTGTGTGCCATTTGAGGAGGAAGGAGATTCTAACAGAAAGTTTGTTTAATTGACTACGTTTCAATTTACTGTAATACCCTCACTTTTTCTCTTTCAGTATTACTACAGCGGTTTTTGTATCCAATGGGTAGTTTGGTAATATTGTATGAAAGTTTTGTTTTTTAAGAGCAAATATAGTAGAACCGATTTATATATTTAAAATTAATATATTTTCAAGTTTTATTATAATAATTTGAAAATTCAAATTCTAGTAAAAGAATAATTTATATATATATGCAAAATCAGTCCTTTGAATTTTATTATAACAAATTTTACGATTGTTATTATTATGTAAGTTATGCCGTCATAAATTGTATATTTATATGTTGATACCTGATAGTAGATATCCAAAAATTCTAATAATTTTTTTTTAAGAATGATTAGTTAAATAATATTACTTTTATTAAAATAAAATAAATTTTTTTTACCATTTAATCACTTTTTATTTTCAAAAAATACCATGTTTTCAAAAAAAAAAAAAAAAAAAATACTCATTTTAAAAAATATAACCGTTTTTTTTCTTCAAATTTAAAATTTTAAATTCCTCGATCCTCAACTATAAATACCATAATTTTTATTCACTCTTCAACACATTCAAATATTCTTAATTCAATTCTCATAACTCTCTTATTTTTCATCTTCTTTAAAACCTCATTGTTAATGGATCGTGTGGCTCGTGTTTGGTCCTATGAAGAAGAGACATTATTAACTCGTTCATGGATTGATGTAACAGAAGACTCAATCAACGTTAACGTCATTGTGCATACTTTTTGGGGGAGAGTCGACGAAACATACAACCGCCAAGCCATTGTTCCTCGAAGTACAAATCAACTCTTCTCCAAATGGACACATATCAACGCACTTTCAACTCAGTTTAACAATCTATTTCGTAGGGTGACGCATGAAGCTAAAAATGGTGAAAATGAAAATACTTTGCAAGAGAATGCTCTTGAGGCTTACCGTGTTGAAGCTGACAAACATTTCCAACTTGTTGATGTAACGCCCCGTTTCTGGTATGTATTTGATCTACTTTTATATCAATTGTATTAGTAACTCGACGAGTGGCAGCCCTAACTCGTCGAGTTGATGCGAGGTTGGGACGCGGGTTTAAGTAATCTACTCGTCGAGTCCGCGCTTGGACTCGACGAGTAGGCTAGTCTGGATGAAACCCTAATTAAAGGGTTTGCACCCTACTTAAACAATATTATGAGCTTCAGGTCTAGCCTCCATCACCTCCAGAGCATTACTTTCGAAACCCTAATTCACTTTTGGCAACTTGAGCTTTCTTAGTGACTTGGAGGGTTTTTGGTGCATTGTGTATCTAGTAGAAGAGTTGGAAGGAAGAAGGATCAAGGGAGAAGGACTAGATCTAGGAGCAACATCAGTTTCTCTTCACTTTCAGGTAATCAAGCTCAAAACTTGACTTGTGGTTTTATAGATTTTCTCCATTGCCCCTTTATGGAGTTTTGGGGGTTAATAAGCTTGATCCTTAACACTTGGACGTCCCAAGTCGATTCACCTTTAGATCTAGACTCTACAACCGAGTTCATGGCATAAAGACGCAAGCTTTATGGCCATATTAGCCCATGCACCCCTTTAGACCTCATTTTCGGTCCTTAAAGCTTATACTTCCATGCATGCACGTAAAGTTCATAACTTTACATGCTAGATCGATCTTATAATCCCAGATCTACATTTTGAATGAGAGTTGTACGCCAGAAATCGAGTTATAGACTTGGACAATAGGCAATTCGACAAGTTGTTCTTGGAACTCGGCGAGTCCGAGGCTTCAGTCCCCAATATGTTGTGGTTCAAAGGAACCCAACTGAGTGATACCAAGGATTTAGACAAGTCCAGAGGAGTGATTCAATGTTTTAAGACATAGCCATGACCTGGGAACCATGGGACTCAACGAGTGTTAGAACACACTCGGCGAGTCCAATGCAATCTCCTTACCCACAAGAACAGACTCGACGAGTCATAGTCTGGACGTGTTCATATGATGAAGGAGGACTCGACGAGTTGTCCATACAACTCGGCGAGTCAGATGAAGGTTGACTAGATGTCATCAAAGAAGGGGAACTCGTCGAGTCTTTGCTAAACTCGACGAGTAGAGTCAGATAGAAGGATAAAAGAAAGGTTAGGGACTCGACGAGTTTGAGGCCCAACTCGGCGAGTCAGGTCAACTGGAAGTTGACTTTGACCAGGGGTAAAATGGTCATTTTACCCTAAGATTAGTCATCGGTGTTTGATTAAGTGTCTTTATGGGAATTGTAGCCGGGGAGTTACCGGAGCTGCAGTCAGACAATTCCCGATCAACATTTCGGCAGTCAGCCTTACGAGGTGAGTTTCCTTCCAGTAGGAACGGGTCTACAGCTACAATACCGACCCGTTTAGATAGTAGAAGTTCAATATGCTTGATGTCTTCATGATTCAAGCATGTCTATATGTTGTGAGTTTCAGACTGTGGTCCGATGCAGTATGCAGTATATGTGTTTATGTTATATGTTATGATTATGTTATGTTATTTTCAGTCAGTTCGGACTTCGGTTCGATGCAGTGGGCAAGACCCTAGTTAGTTCCTGACTTCGATCCAATGCAGTGGGCAAGGCCATAGTTAGTTCCAGACTTTAGTCTGATGCAGTGGGTAAGGCCCTAGTCAGTTCCGGACTCGGTCCGATGCAATGGGCAAGGCCCAGTATGTGCTTTATTTGATATTGTATGGTATGTGGTAGTTTGGGGGAGCTCACTAAGCTTCGTGCTTACAATTTTCAGTTTTGGTTTCAGGTACTTCAGCTAGTAAGGGGAAGGCTCGGGATGATGGCATGACACACACACCACAGTTTTAGCCTGGGTGCTAGAGTATGATATTTTGACACGATCATGACATCATATTTGATTTGATACATTTATTATGACATTTTGAGATACACGACTTATGGTTTTGTTATATGATATTTGGATATTATAGTTTTAGTAATGTTTCCAAATGAAATTTTTGGCTTGTATTTTTGGGTTGTTTCAGTTGAGTTTTGGCAAATTGTGAAGCAGTTCCCCAAATGATGATAAATTTAAACTTGTTGTCTTCTAATTTTTAGTGTGTTGTTTGTTTAAATTTCTAGTGGCGGTGTATGTTAGTTCAATTTCAAGTATGTTATGTTTTTCAAGTGCAAATGTGTGATTTTCTTTCAAGTTAATAACAATTAATTTTTTATTAAAATAATTTGTTTATATTGATTTCTTTATATAAATTAAATATAAAAAAAGTAACATGACAAGCGTGTCAACCCGCGCCATATAAATGACAATTTTTTGTTGTGGTGTGACAAATATGACGTGACGCCTACATGGATCGTGAGAAGTGTAGCACCACTCCCTCCAGCCTAATAGAGTTCTTTTAAAACATGTTAAAACATGTAGATTAGGTGTGGGACTAATGGACTGAATTGAATTCGTTTTTAATCTTCCTCACAACAAGGGTTTTGAAAGTGAGCTAGTTTTTGTTCTCTTTTATTTTTATTTTCTAGAAAAAATAATTTCCAATGTATTGGTAAAATATTATATCCATAAAATAATAATTTTTTTTCCAATTAAATACAAGTTTTGATATTTATTAATAATCAAAATCACACTAATAAATAATCCGTTAGTGGTAACTTTCTATAAGATGTGATCCTATAGGATAATTTGTCATTAACAATATCATTATATTGTAACTTTTGATCATAAAGATCTTTCAACACATACATAAAACTTATGCTTAATCATGAGTCAATATCATACCAGAAAGCTTATGCTCAATCATGAGTCAGTATCATAAAAGGTTTAGGATTATTTATGCCATCAATTATGTTCTTGTTCCTCAACCTCATGGAACATAATAAATATTTTTCTAGTTTATATATAGAAATAAATATTGAAGATTGCTTTTGATTTCCTAAAAATTCATGAGTATGTATGCATTGTTGTTTTAAGAAATGCTATAAAACTCTTGCCATTGAATGGTTTAATAAAAATAAAAGGAACAATTTTAGGAGAATGCAATGAAGTAGGAATATGTGGCATGATGGATCACTTGATTAAAGAATAGAAGGGAGAAACAACAGACATGACGACGAAGGTGTGGGGGGACGACATTGAATAACCGACATCAGCGACAGAGGCATCTTGACGGAGCATCGATTGGCTTTAGAGCATCAATGGATTTGAGAGAATTACGTGTTCAACGCATTATAATTTCTGGAAGCATTGTTTTGGTCAACATATGTAAGCGTGCCGGGGTTTCCGCCAAGAAAGAGGCTCCTGTGAATTTCCTGACTGACTCGACAGAAGGAAGGTCAACCCTTAGACCGGATGACGTTTTGATTTTTGGATGGGTTGGAGGGAAAAATGCATGTGTGGACCTTACATGGGTATCCCCTCTCGTAAGTTTAAGGACCGGGGGTTTCACGGTGGGACAAGCTGCATTAAAAGCTGCTACTTGCAAGGTCACCAAACATGAGAAACCGTGCATGGAAAATCAACACGCGTTCATACCATTTGCATTTGATACGTTTGGTTTCCTTGCGCCAGATGCGGTGGAGCTTCTTAGTAGACTATAACGGATCATGCATAGCCATGTTATATCCCCTAGATCTATGAATGTAGTCTTCAAAAGAATTGGTTTTACCATACAAAAGGGTTTAGCGGTGCAATTTGTTGCCCATTTGCCTTCTCATTCGTTGTATGATGATAACTAAAATGACTTACCACTTGATGAAAATCATAAGGATGAAACATGAAAAATTTAAAAATAATTAATGGGAAAACAATGAAGGAAACAAAAATAATATCTTAATAGTTTTACTGACACAAAAAACGTGATTAAATTAAAATAAAACATATAGTGTCATATTAAATTATTATGTCACTAACAAATATGATTTTTAGTGGCATAAAAAGTTTAGTGCCACTAAACCATTAATTTT